CCAATTTTCGGAAAGAAAAGAAGTTTTGTTTCGAGCGAGAAAATTACAAGCTAACCGGGCATGGATTCGAATGTCAAATTATTGGATATGTTTGAAACGTTTGATGGAACATTGGACGCTGCCTTTTGGATACAGCGAACTAAAGTGATTGCAGAAATGCAAAATGTAAAGCTGAAGTCACTCTTTCCAATTCTTCTAAGAGGAACTGCCTATTTGGTATACGATGGTTTAAGCGCTGAAAATTAGCAAGACGAAGAAGAAGTTGAGCGTGTCTTGTTAGCAGCATTCTCTTTAGATGCTTAAGACGTTTTTTCACGGGAACCGGAAAGGGGCGGGAAGAATAATCACGTGGGCATACGTAGTATAAGTTTTAATATGTCTGAAGGTTGAGGCAAAGAAGGTGGGGGCAAACTACGCATGCTCACGTGATTATTTTCCCTTTCCTATCCCGTTCCCGTGAAAAAACGGATGAGTGGAGACTCACCTTTATACGGCATACGAACTTTTTGTTAAACGAAAATTAAATATTGGAGAGATAGTTGATGTGTTTTTGGCCGACTTAAAACGATTGGCTTATCTTGCTAAATAGTCAGAAGAAGATTTCGAGCTGTTATGGATCCAATCGATGTTATGTTACCCAAAGTAAGAGCTGCTTTGAATCGTGTATGCGTAGGTGATGCTGTTGACGCTGTTTTTTGAAATCAAGCCAAAAAAGTTTTGTTAGTGTGTTACAACTGCAAAAGGTTAAATCATATTGCAAGAAACTGTCCCTTTGCAAAGAATCTGGCTCCGAAGAATTTTTTTCGATGTTTTAAATGTGGGAATGAAGGACACATGGCTGCAAAATGCTTCATGAAGCAGAAAAACGAGTGCGGGAGCAAGGAATGTGCGCTACCTCGTTCCTGAACAATGGTGGAATTAGCGCACTATCTATTATTCATCTAAAAGTTAATATTTTGTTAGCAACAGCTATGGTAGACACGGATTGTTCAAAGACAATTATACATCAAAAACTGTTGTCAAGAAAGCAACATAAACCCCAGAATCCCCCAAAGGTAGTAGCTTTTGGCGGTAAATTTCATCAATTTAATGGATTAGCGGCTATCACTATTGAGGTGATGGTATTCAAATACAAGACGAAGTTATTTTAGTGGATTTTCAACCGTTCGGAGTTGATATGATGCTGGGAATGAGTTACATTAAATTGCTAGGAGGAGTTTTTATTTCTCCGCCTGGAATAGTAAAGTTTGGGTTTGGCTTGTGTGGAATAGCAGTCTCAAAGAAAGATAAAGTCAATAAATTGAAATTAAAAAGCAAGATCATGAAGCAATATTTAATGGTGTCGAATGGGAAGTTAAATGGAAATGGAGAGATGGAGAAGGCCCCAACCAGTTGGTTAACAAAGTTGCCCAATACAGCATACCAAAATATGCAAGAGTAGAATATGAAAACGAACTACGGGATTGGATTAATCGTAAATGGTTAATTGAATATGAAGAAAATGAGATGGGACCACCTAAAGGGCAAATTCCCTTAATGGCTGTTATCTAACGAAATAAAGATAATAAAGTCAGACCCTTTTTGGACTGGAGAGAAGCTAACAGTTTTATTGAAACGTATACAAGAGATGCAGATGTGTGTGTTGAGAAGCTGAGGAAATGAAGAAGAATGGGAAAGAAACCAGCAATTATTGATTTACGCAAGGCTTATCTCCAATTAAAAACTGAAGAATCTCTTTGGCCATTCCAAACAGTGGTTTTTCAAAACAAAAGGTATTGTTTGAAACGGCTTGGTTTTGGATTAAACGTTGCTCCAATGATCATGACATCTGTTGTGAGTGCCATTATTGATCAAGATGAATTAGTGAAGAAAAGAGCATTCGCTTACGCGGACAATATATTTTGTCAATGAGGAAGTAGTAAGTCTTGATTATGTCAAAAGACTTAAAAAATATGGTTTAGAGAGTAAAGAAGGTAAACAGATTGGATGTAATGGAGTTCGTATTTTGGGATTACGTGTGTACAAGGTTGGTGGCAAGGCTGGTGGCAGTTGGTGGGTCATTTACCAGTATGTGGTTGGTTACGTGCAGTTTGTAGTCTTTTGAAAAGAAGAGTGGTTAGTTTAACGAAGGGTTGGGACGATGAAGTTTGCGATGAAAATTTAAAGCGTGTACTTCAAGAGGTTTATGATAAGGTTGCAAAGTGCGATCCAGCTTATTGCGATTGGGCTGTACATGGTGACGCGGGGAATGAGTAAGTTGATGCAAGTTCTTTGGCAAGTGGTGCGGTTATTCAAGTTGGTAAAACTACTGTAGAAGATGCAACATGGCTACGAAAAGAAATGTCTGAGGATCAAATAAACATGGCGGAGCTGGATGCTGTAATGCGAGGAATGAATATGGCTTTGAAGTGGAAATTAAAGAAAGTAACTATCTTTACAGATTCCGTGACAGTGTTCCACTAGGTTTCTAACACTCTCACTGGTAAGTCAAGATTGAAATCAAAAGCAATGGGCGAAAGGTTGATTCGAAGAAGATTAAGCGTTCTCTTACAATGTATTGAAGAGTATGGTATTAATGTGAATGTAAAACTTGTTCCTTCAAAAGACAACTTAGCTGAAGCATTGATTAGAGTTCGAAGTAGATAGTTGAATAAATTGACGGAGGCTAAGCATTCAAGTTATTCTGTTGGAGCAGTATTTGCAGAGACTGAATCCATTTCTAGCAATCACAAGAGATTCATTGGAGTGAATCGCACTCTAAACTTTGTTCGTAAAGTAATTCCAACCGCTACCGAAAATGACGTTAGAAAGGTAATTAAAAATTGCGAACCATGTCAATCAATAGATCCAGCACCTGTACAATGGTAGAAGAGAAAATTGAGCGTTAAAGAAAATTGGGAAAGAGTGGCCATGGATATCACGCATTTTGGCACAGAAAAACTTTTAACTCTGGTTGATTGCGGACCTTCAAGATACGCACTGTTGCGACAACTTTCAAGTTCATACGGAAGTATTTCCATTACTCGAATACTCCGCCTTATTTTTTGCGAGCAAAGAGCACCATCTGAAATTTTGACAGATAACGAAGCAACTTTTAAGACTGAGGAGTTGAGAAGTTTTCTTGATGGTTGGGGAGTACGCATTAGGTTTCGAGCTGCTTATTATCCCGAAGGAAATGGAATTGTGGAAAGAAATCATCGTACAATTAAGAGAATTGCAGAAAGATCCAAAATGTTATTACCGGAAGCAGTGTATTGGTACAACGTCTCAGTTAACAAAAATAATGCAAGCCCGATGGAGAAAATATACAGGTATCGAAGTAATGTGAAAGGATTGAGAAAAGATAAACTTTTCTCAAAATGACACAAATGAAGTGTTTAAAAATGGGGATAATGTTTGGTTGAAAATGTCAAATGCGAAGTGCCATACTAAGTGGCAGCCAGCAAAACTAACGGTTTTGCTGGCTGCCACTTAGTATGGCAGCCAGCAAAACCGTTTTCGAAATATTTAACGAAATATTTCGAAACAAGTTGTCGAAGTTAATGGCGTTCCGCGTCACGAAATATATTCGATATCGAAATAACATTCAACCATGCAATATTCCTAAAGTGAACGCAGTCACAAAATATATCCGATACCGAAATAACATTCAACCATGCGATATTCCTAAAGTGAACGCAGACAGTGGTAGAGATAAAGCGGCAAACCATGGTGAGAAAATTAAAAATGGGTTGGAGACAAGCAGAGGAGACGTGTTACAAGGAAATGGTGAAGCCGAAAATGGATTCCAAGAAAAAGTGCCTTTGCCCCGAAGTACTCGAGAACGACGCATGCCCCAAAAATACGACGATTATTATTTGTATGATCCGTAAGGACCAAGGAGGAGTGTGAGAAAGTTCTAAAACGTTCTACGGCAATTACGTGGTTTCTTTTAATGATAGTTTTTAATTATTTTAATTGTAGTTATGTATTAAGCGGTTTTTGTAATTATGATTTTGTGGGTAGACGTATAAATGGATGTAAAACTTTTGTAAGCTGAGTTGAATTTAAGTTAATAAATTTTTGGAAAGTTTTGTTTCGAGCGAGAAAATTACAATAAACGACTTGAGTAAATTTTTCAATACCTTAAATTCAATTTTATTTGCCGACGGTACTAACATATTTGATTCTAATAAAGATATTAATATACTGCTTCGTACTTATGTCTGTTTGCACCTATGCCAATGTTTGCAAAATCTCTTGGCGCATTTATGCCTATTCGCACTTATGTCAGTTTGCACTTAGACAAACTTTTGTAACTGCTTTGCACTCATGCCAGTTCGCACTTATGCCAATGTTTGCAAATTTATTAGGCGCACTAATGCCAATTTGCACTTACGACAGTTCTCACTTATGCCAATTCGCACTTATGTCAATGTTTGCAAAATCGTTTAGCGCACTCATGCCAATTCGCACATATGCGAGTTCGCGGTTAATCAGCCTCCCGGTTCATGTTTTATCGCATTTTTATCTATTTTTGAATTCGAAATCTTAATAAATGAAAGTTTGAAAAAATTATATATATTTTTAGAAAGTATCTTTTACTTGTACTTATATATGTACTATATGCATGTTTTACGTTGTGATAACGGTAATATATATATATTTTTTTGTTATTTACATTCCTGTTTTGAAGAGGCTTCACGATAAGATTTAATTTGTCTTCTTCTTGCTCCAGCCATGTATATACATTTTATTCAAGTCTAATTTTGTAATTTTTTTCTTTATGGCGAAATACATAAAAATAATAATGCAAAAAAAAGGGACTTTGGCGTGCTACGAAGTTGGAAAAAATGATGGTGGTTATATGCGCATAATTAAAGACATAAAACTTGCATCTAAGTTTCTTATGTGGCAAGCAATATAGCAGCTGTCACGCTAACAACTGTACGCACATTTAACTGAATTTTGCGTTTTCACTTGATACGGCAAAAAAAACAAAAACTTTCTAATTCACTTACGCTTCTTGATTCGAAGAAAATTTCTTTGACTCAATCGGGACACATAACATGGTCAGAACATTATGAGTTTTTAACTTATCAGCTGTTGCTTTTGCTTCATCTACAGTTTCTCCAGCGGCAAAGTTACCGTAATAAGTGGATTTCATTAACCATCGGAAAAGAGGAGCCCAAATAATTTTCTCACCAATGAGAAACATCTAATAATCAAATTTTTAAATTTGTTATAATTGAAGCTTCTCAACTTTTCGAAAAAATATCTGCTCTTACACAAAACAAAATTAATAAAAAAAATCAAAAAGATCCTTAAGCACATTAAAACACATTTAAGGACAACAATGGCGCAAATTATTTTTTTCTGACTAGACCTAATGGCTACTGAAGCAAAAACCATAGTTACGTAACTTTACTTAAAATTTCACGATGGTAAATTGGCTTTTCACGATGGTAAATTGGCGTGAAAAATCTCCCACTCTATAGTAACATAGAGTACTAAGTAACATCTCCCACAAAAAATTTCAATAAAAGCGGGCAAAATTTTGCCCGTTTTTATTGAAATTTATTAAAAATATTTACAAAACAAGGTTATTTTAAAGAAATCATTAGAGCTGTTATATAATGTAGTTTGATTTGGTTTTTTTTAAAAAGCTTTCAGAAAAGAGATTAAAAAAAAAATTTCGAATTTAAAAACACTTGATAATAAGTTTTTTAAAGCTATTTTTACTTTTTTTTTTTATCATACTGTATCAACATTTTTTTTTATCATACTGTATCAACATTTTTTTTTATCATACTGTATCAACATTTTTTTTTATCATACTGTATCAACATTTTTTTTTATCATACTGTATCAACATTTTTTTTTATCATACTGTATCAACATTTTTTTTTATCATACTGTATCAACATTTTTTTTATCATACTGTATCAACATTGGAATCAAAAGTTCGTTGCTCAGATTCCTTCAACGAAAAAGTTTAAAAACTAAATTTTACTTAAACAGCTGTAAAAATGCGTGTTTTTAGTTTGCAGCTTGTATTTTGTTATATTAATTAGAAGATTCTCAAAAATGTATCAAAAAAAGGTACTTTTTGATGCTTTTATTTTAAAATATGCAAATAGAAAGCAAAAGCCTTGCGCCCATTATTAATTTTTTATTAAGAATAGTTTGAAAAAAAAAACATCAAATATAATTTTCGGAAAAGTATAAAAATTAACAAAATGTTGGATGCTTAAAAATAATAAACAAATTTTTTATCGTTTTTTTTAACAAATATTTGTACGATTTTATTCAATCGAATAAAAAGTGAAGGATGTAGGGATGTTTAAACTATTAACAAATTTAAAGAAAGTTGTTTTTTGCCCTTAATTAAAATAAAAAAAGGTTTACTTATTATTTATAATTATTTTGATGTTTTTTAATTGTAACATAAATTGAAGTTTATTTTCTTAAATTTTAATAGGCAAATGTTTGAAAAAAAATACTTATTAAAATTTTTATTTGACATCTTTTTTTTTATGATGATACTTAAACTACTTACTCAAATCTTTTAGTTTAATTATCCACATAATAATTTAATTATCCATAAAATATTTTAATTATCCATATAATAGAAGAATTATCCATATAATAAGTTAATTATCCATATAATAGTTTAATTATCCATATAATAGTTTATTTATCCATATAATAGTTTAATTATCCATATAATTGTTTAATTATCCATATAATAATTTAACTATCCACATAATAGTTTGATTATCTATCAAATAGTTTAATTATCCATATAATAATTTAATAATCCATAGAATAGTTTTATTATCCATATAATAGTTTAGTTACCCATAAAATCGTTTAATTATCCATCAAATAGTATAATAATCCATATAATAATTTAATTATCCATAAAATAGTTTAATTATCCATATAATAGTTTAATTATCCATATAATAGTTTAATAATCCATATAATAGTTTAACTATACATAAAATACTTTAATTATCCATAAAATAGTTTAATTATCCATATAATAGTTTAATTATCCGTATAATAGTTTAATTATCCATATATAAATTTAATTATCCACATAATAGTTTATTCTACATAAAATAGTTTAATTATCAATAAAATAGTTTAATTATCCATATAATAGTTTTATTATCCATATAATAGTTTAATTATACATAAAATACTTTAATTATCCATAAAATAGTTTAATTATCCATATAATAGTTTAATTATCCATATAATAGTTTAATTATCGATATAATATTTAATTATCCATATAAAATTTTAATTATCCACATAATAGTTTAAATATCCGTAAAATAGTTTAATTATTTATAAAATTATTTATTTATCCATATAATAGTTTAACTATCCATATAATAGTTTAATGATCCATATAATAGTTTAATTATCGATATAATAGTTTAATCATCGATATAATAGTTTAATTATCAAGATAAAAGTTTAATTATTCATTGTATAGTTTAATTATCCATATAATAGTTTAATTATCCATATAATAGTTTAATTATTCATATATAAATTTAATTATCCAAATAATAGTTTAATTATACATAAAATAGTTTAATTATCAATAAAATAGTTTAATTATCCATATAATAGTTTTATTATCCTTATAATAATTTAATTATACATAAAATAGTTTAATTATCCATAAAATAGTTTAATTATCAATATAATAGTTTAATTATCCATATATAAATTTAATTATCCACATAATAGTTTAATTATACATAAAAGAGTTTAACTATCAATAAAATAGTTTAATTATCCATATAAAAGTTTTATTATCCATATAAGAGTTTAATAATACATAAAATAGTTTAATTATCCATAAAACAGTTTTATTATCCATATAATAGTTTAATTATCCATATAATTGTTTAATTATCCATATAATAATTTAACTATCCACATAATAGTTTAATTATACATAAAATAGTTTAATTATCAATAAAATATTTTAGTTATCCATATAATAGTTTTATTATCCATATACATATAATAGTTTTATTATCCAGTTTAGTTACCCATAAAATCGTTTAATTATCCATCAAATAGTTTAATTATCCATATAATTGTTTAATTATCCATATAATAATTTAACTATCCACATAATAGTTTAATTATTTATCATATAGTTTAATTATCCTTATAATAATTTAATAATCCATATAATAGTTTTATTATCCATATAATAGTTTAGTTACCCATAAAATCGTTTAATTATCCATCAAATAGTTTAATTATCCATATAATAGTTTAATTATCCATATAATAGTTTAATAATCCATATAACAGTTTGATTATCCATAAAATAGTTTAATTATCCATATAATAGTTTAATTATCCATATAATAGTTTAATAATCCATATAACAGTTTGATTATCCATAAAATAGTTTAATTAAACATATAATAGTTTAACTATCCATATAATAGTTTAATTATCTACATAATAGTTTATGTATTCATATAATAGTTTTGTTATCCATATAATAGTTTAATTATCTATAAAATAGTTTAATTATCTATAAAATAGTTTAATTATCCGAAAAATAGTTTAATTATCCATATAATAGTTTAATTACCCATAAAATCGTTTAATTATCCATTAAATAGTTTAATTATCCATATTTCCCATTCAGTGCATAGTCCACGCACGAGTTTTAAGTGGAATGTGTGGCTGTTGTCAAATAATACTTGCCATGGAGGTCCTCTTTCTCGGAATATTTCTTGTAGATGAAACCACACTGTTATTTTTCTCGCATTTAGTAATTTTCACGGCATTTAACAAATAATAAATAGATCTCCGATTTGTAATGAGTTACGTCGATCGCCAGACAACACCAACTGTTTTTAACTTCTTGACTTCCTTCTCCCATTGAATCGACGCAGGATCTATCAATAAACATCTTCCAAAAGTTTTTACGACTGTCTTTACGTCTTTTCTGTATACGTTCTTCTGAGGGTTTGTCTGCTTCATCAGATAATGTATTCGATTGACTCCAAAATGATGATATTACAAAACGTCTTTACATCAGCTGATTTGACATTAACTGTCATAACAGAACTGGTTTAATGTAGCCAGTTTAGAGATAACCTTTTAAAGCACTGGTTTTATTTTCTTCTGACTTCACAACACAAACTTTTATCATTAAATAGCATTCTTTCACAAGATCTTCAATCAGAGATAACCGACGTCGGACAAGTGGTTCTCCAACACCATATAACTCGAACGGGTTTGTTGCCAATGATTAAAGAATTTAACCAGCCAATAACTATTGCAGAACTGCTTATTAAGGTAACACGTTCAAAGCACGTTCAAAGCTCCACTTTAATGCTAAGTTGAATCCGTTGGTCATGGCTACTAACTCTGCAAGATTAATGTGAGCCGTATAAATCTGTTTAATCAGCCATTAATAATCTTTAACGATTTCTTCAGCCACTTCTAGAACTAAGCTTATAGCCAAACAGCTTGCATTGCACAACACAGTTGTTTCAGAAGTGTTTTTAGCGTTCCATGATCTATGAACAGGGTTTTCATTACTTATTCTTTCCTTTAGGCTTCACACTAATTTTGTCTCATTCACAAGAGAGTCCTATTCAAAACTACTCGCTATTCCTACTGACGCAGATTAGCCATGCACAAAACTTTTATTTGCCTTATTATTTTATAATACCATCAATGTAGCTTTTTGATTTTTGATCCCGTAAACATGTTACAGACAAAGAATGCTGTCACAGTTTATGTTTGTTATAAACTGAGCTTTTTTATCAATTTTGCAGTCGTTTCCAATTCTAGGTTGTGTTCAGAAGAAATATCTGACAGAAGAACTTTTATTTAAAATGAAGTTTGAAAAATGTAAGTAATGCTGCAAAATTTTTAATATGCATATGTAAAAGTAGATTTACAGATGGATAAAAATCCTTAAATAAAGACAGCAAAAATAAATGCAAACAAGTAATAACTAAACCTACTACGCACACATTGACTATTTAAGGAATGAACTGAAAGCTTGTTTTTTTTCATTTGAAGTTATTATTTAATTTTATTTCGAGTTATCTATAATTTTTATTTTTAAAAAACATCAACTCACAAACACATATAGTAAAATTTTTCCAAACCTATTATCAACTTGAAAACAATCTTTCAGTTCATTTCTTAGCT